ATCCTTATTTAAAGTCTCTGAAGTCTTGACATTTTCAGATGTTCAACTATTCCTCTGCCAGAATTTCACAAAAGGGTTAGGAGTTTTGCTCTGCTCTTGGGGACAGCACCTCCCTATCAAGGCCCTACTCTGCTATGAAAGGTGAGACAACCAAAAAAGTCAAATTAAAATTCCATTTGCCTTCTAGCCAGTCTGCCACTGGGCCTGCATTCAGAGAGATCAGCTGGGGCTCCTGAGAGAGGCAGCGATCCTGTCTTAGTGCTGACGGATGCAGGGATGCTCCTCAGCCCCTGGTCCCAGGGGTGTTCTCAGGTGTGGGGAGGATGGTGAAAATTTATCTAACACTGTGGATAGTGTAAGGATATTTTCAGCTCATGCTCTACATGAGGAGGATCATTTCTTACAAAAATTTGTGTTATGACAACTCTTGCTTTTATGGCAACATGTTGAGAGTTTAAGAATGTGTGAGGATGACTTTCCCATTTTCCTGAACCCTGTGTCTGGGAACTGGAAGCAAAGGTTTCAGTCGTTGTACTTGCATACTTAATTTTCATATTCAGTGCTTTGAAACTGGTACAAGGTACTTAATTATTCATTTATTAAATATGAATTACTTTAGCATCTTAGCATTTCTATATCAAGCCTTACATCTCCTTTACGATTTTTCTAATCTAAACTTCTGCCCTTTGGACCCAACATTTTTGGAAAGCAAAAGCGTTTAAGCTGAGATAAACACAAGTGGATTTACTGGAGTATGAAATATCCCACATGTTTAAACAGGGAGCCTGTGCACTCACACTCCAGGTACAGAGAGATTCGCTGAGCACACTCGGCCTCACTTCTGTTTTGGGGCAGAACTGGACGGCTTTTAGCAGCAATGTCTCCTCAGGGGTAAGGGAAGAGGAAACACTGAAGAAAAGGAGGGGCACCTTTTAGTAAGTCAAACATTTGAAGGCTATTGGGCTTGATCTCTTTCATTGCTGCTAGACAATCGCAGCAGGGGGCTGAGAGACCCTTATGGTAAGGCCCAACACTTCTTAATCAAACCTGCTTTTGAAAATATTCATCACTCAGTTGTGGGAGGGAGAGAAATCTCCTGCCCATTCTCTGCACACCCCAGGGAAGCTGTAAAGGCTACATACCTGTTTTATCTCCTCCCATGTGGGCCAGTTTTGAAGCAAGGTGCAAGACCTCTGAAACAACCACTGCCTTTCAATCTCAGGAAGGAAGAAGTTTATTAACTTCCAAAAAGAAAAGGTTAATTATAAGAGATGCTGATTTTGAGCTGTGGGTAGACAAACAACTGGACTCCACGAGGTGGCAGAAATCCAGTGACCAGCCCAGCCCTTCAGCCCCATCACCATGGCCGTGGTTTCCCACAGGGCTCCTGCCCACGGGCAAGTTGGTTTCTCTACCATAGGGACCCACCAAGCAAAAGAGATCCTGTGTTTTCCTCATGGGCTGGCAGGGATGTGTGGCTGGTTATCCATGGCGGGTGTGAGACACCCAGCTCCCCACACAGCTTAGCACAGGAACAGGGTTGCACTCCCCAAAGCAACCCTGCAGACCAGTCCCTCTAAATCCACCATGGGGAAATGTCCCTCTACAGGTACACGGAAATAGGAAAGGACTACCAAAAGGATTACCCAAAGGAGCCCCAAAAAGATGTCATGATTGACAAATAATAATTTGTACTAGAGGACTGCATGTCACTTCATGTGTCAATATGTGCCTTTGCTGACTACAGCAATGGCTGTGACTTCAGAATATGTTTCCCAAAATCTTCATAAGGAAGTGCTGGTGGATGGTCTATTAGAGAAATACATATTAAGGCTGTTCAGAGTAAGCAAAAACATTTCTGACCTCCCCTGATGGTAGGCAGTAGTGGGTGGCTTGTTCTGCAGAACTGAAACCCAAGTAGGTTTCTTTCTGCTGGGGCTGCTTTGCACCTTTCTTAATGGCACCAAGTGCTTCTCTTGGCAAAGGATGGAGGCTTTGCATCATCTTCCATCCTTCAAAAACCTGGATATGCGTGGGCCTCCTCCAGTTGCCCAGGCTTGGCTGCCAGCTGAGGAGCAGGAAGGCTTAGCACTGGAAGGAGGGGTTTGCTGGGGCTCTGGGTGGTATTTCAGTACATCTCAGTCCCTGGTCCTTGGCACAGGATGATGATGGGTCTCACTGAGTAACTACGGCCTGTTAGGGGAAAACTGTTACTGAAAATTGTTATTGCCGTGTTCCTTCGCTTTTGAGAGGTGCTGCTTCCAGCTGCTCCCTCAGGCAGTCTTAATACTTAAGAGTCTGTGTTTTCTAAGTGAAAATGGGTAACATTATTCCCACATTATCAAGGGGAAAAAATGAAAGTGAAAGTGCCTTACTTTCCCAAGGGATGACACATGCCTGTGGGGACAGGGACAGCAGCTCACAAAGGCTCACGCAGGCTCACTCCAGTTCTGCTCTGCAGGTTTAATGTCCAGGAAAATACATTTCAGGCCTGAAAAACTGCAAGTGAAACAGAAACCAAGGGAAGTTGCAACTTCTGATCAGCTTTTTAGAGGCTAATATTTGCATAATGTTAACTCCTCTCTTTTTATTTTTCTAACTGACCTAAGTGGTTTATTGTTAAAACTATCCTCAATACCCTTACCTATTTTAAAAATACAGGCATTTTCTTAAATTCACTTTGAGGAGAACACTGCAGAGCAGGGTATTTCATTCAATTTTTCATTAAATAAAAGCTATAAGCAAGGAGGAAATTATTTTGGTTTCAGTTTTACTGTTTGTATAGAATCTTAATATATTAGTGTAGAAAATTTTATTTTTTTTAATGATAATTGTAATAAGATGAAACTTGCTAAGCATAAGCTACTGAACTGAAACCATGACAGCCAGGTAGTTTAAGTGCAAGTCTGAGCATGGAAAATTTAGAGGTTGTCTTTATTTTATTGGAGGCATGCAAGTAATACTAGACATACATAGAGAGGTAAATGTATGATACCTAGTTTTTCCTTTTGTTAGAAAAGAATGGTAATAAAATCACAGGAACTTAGACTGAGATTGTACATCATGAATTTGTTATGACAAGAAAATGCTCCCAGGCAAAACCACTGAAAGTAGTACCTGGCTTAAAGGAAAATGTGTTTCTCTTTGTGCTGACAACTAAGCACTAAGACTGAAACCAGCGTCAACTGTTCAGTTACTTTTTGCTAATCAATACTTGTCTAGCTCAATACTTTTTTCAAATTATATCTATATTCATTGAAGGGTAAATTACTAACGCTAAATTAAAATCTTACAGAAAATAGCCACAGCTGGTGTTTAGCCAAACTAACGTCTATTTAAACCCTTTAAAGCTCAAATAAAGGGTTTTTAAATTGGTTTTTTTCAATAAGAATACCTGGCACATCACGTCACCTAGGAAATACAGCTACTTAAAACATTTCTATTTATTGCATCCACCAGGTAGCTAAAAGTCAGGCAATAATGAGGAACAGAAAACATCAGTCTAAAATTTATGGCCATCCTGTGAATAAATCATTTTGTATATGTCTTTCTAAGAATGATCACTGAGTAATTTTGACAACTTGTAATTTATCTACTAGGAATGTCCCTTGTTTATTACTACCCCTGCCTAAATATGGTAACAGGACTAAGAAAGCAGATAATTAACACACTAAAGACAAAAATGAAAAACCAAAAATCAAGACACATCTACACACAAGATGACTCACTTTAACAGACAGAGAAGCTCAGTTCAGTTTGGTCATCTGTTTCCCGTTAAAAGCTTACTTTTTCCAGCTTTACAGGCTACAAGGGTAACATAGAAACTGTCAAAATGACTGAACATTATGACTGTGCTAGGACAACATTTTGTTCATCCAAGAGCTGATCCCAGTGGGGCCAGACACAAAACAAACACAAATAATATTTAGGGATGCACCTTGGACAGCAAACTAGCTTCTTGTATAACAAGCTGCTAGAAGAACAACAGCAGTTCACTCACCAGGACCACACTGTCTAGTCACCTTGTTTGGGGAATTCTAGGCTCTATTAATTTCTTACCATTTATGTATACAGAAACACAGAGCAAAGTAACATAGCTAAAAATTAACAGAATTGCATTCGCATCTCTAGAGGAAAGTACACGGCAGAGAGTAGCAATTTTATCTGTGGTAAATTAGGTATTATCAGTCATTGCAATTATCTTCTGCTTTTTCGTGCTTTTTTTTCATCTGCTCCTCTTCAGTTTTCAATAAATATAATTTCATCTCAAGTATCATTCTTTACTATTCATAATAATATAGCTCAATCCTTAGACATGAGAAAGATTCTGTTCTGAGAAGAAACCAGAGCCCATTGATGCCAATAGCAACAAGGTTGCAAAGCAGTATTACAACTGGAATGCAGTCTCACTAATCCTGTAAACCATCAAGATGACAGACACTGTGAGATGCCATCAAAATATTCCCAATCTCTAGGGGAGAAAAAAAAAAAAAAGTCACAAACTCACTTTCTATAGCTTGGCTCATCCAAGAAAAATGGGATGTCATGACGCATATAAACATAGCTCTACTTTTTCTCCCTTGTTTCTATAAACCTTTTCCTCCTGTGAAGCCTATTTCTATGTGGGGTAGCAGATATAAAATAATTTATTCAAGTTACAAACAAGGAACACCTGTGGGAAATTGTCATCAACATGAAAACAGGTACTTTAAAAAAATGGGGAAAAAAATCCACCATATGAAACAAAGATTGGTATTCAGATTCTTGTGACTAATTATTTTTCTTGACCACCCAAAGCCTCTAATAACCTCTTAGACTATTTGTTCAAATAAGGCTCCTTTTCCTACTCTAAGAAATACTGAAATTTTTATCCTTTATTCAGTAGCACACATGCTCCCTGTGGCACATCCCCCACCCCTTCTTTTCAGGGAGATCAAAAAACTATTATAGACTATTGATACAGGTATTGTAGAAACTGTGAAGCACGTAACAGCACAGACTTTTGCTCTACTGAAAGTCATTTATTATTGCATAACAGCAGACCATGCCAAATATTCAACATCACCATAATTAAAACATTTATGTTGCTACCCATTGCCTGGAGCAGAGCAGTATGAAAGTCCTTACTGTAAACAGCATCAAAGTTTCCAACAGGTATCTCACCTTAGTGAGTTCTTCCTTCAGCACAAAAAGGTCATGAAGAGACATTTCCTCACTCCAGAAAAGTAATTTAACATGTTCAGATTGACACACCACTACCTTAGAAAGTGAATTCTGTTTAGGCAAGTATGAGAGAAAACCCTGGAAATAATTGGTATCACCATGTATTTTATACCTGCCATTTACACCATTGCCATACCAACCTCCAGTTACTCCTATAACTATAAAAAGTTGCAGAAAAAGTATTCCACCATTATCTACTGAAGAACTCGGGCTAAAGGTAGTAATTTACTCCCACTTGCTCACCTTTGTGCTCCTAAATAAGTGGGCAGCATCCTTCAGTTTTTCACATGAAAAAAACCCAAAGCATTTAGATCTTTTAGATATCTAAATATCTATGAAGAATATAATATTTGAGGAACCTTTTTTTCCTCTAATACCTGTTGTTTGTAATTCAGCTTGCCACATGCACTGAAGCTATGTTCACAGTTTTCAAACTTACAATTATTTAAATTAAAACATGGCAGAATTCATAAATGTGTAAAACACTTAAACATGCAGCAAAAATTTCATTAGGAGCTATTTTCCATTGTGTTAGTGTCAACAGATGATTTTAAGTTAGGGTAGAAAACTGAACACAGAAGGTTTATTTTCACTTTAGAGTAACATGACTGTGACTGGTCTTTTCAAATGATTCCACAATTGTAACTTTGACCAGATTTTAAACTGAACATAAAATCAGTGAAGAGGGAGTATATAGACATATGAACTGTTCTTAAAAATTTCTTCTGACAGCAGAGTTTCTTACAAACAGGAGGCAATACACTTCAACTAGCAAAGGTGACAATGAAGTGTGCATTTGCTGACATCATCACCAGCTCCCACTATCTGGTCAATGGATAACTAGGGGCTTGATTTCTTTAAACACAATTTCAAATACCTTCTAACAGAATCCTTGTGTAATACTTAATACTTAAATCTTGTTAAAAAATGACTGGCACGTTTGAATACATTTTTAATAAACAGAATGAGGCCCAAAGTAATCTGATGAACTTTTATTAAAAAATAATCTTCCTACAGTAGTATGAAATTTTTTATCAAAGTCAAGCCACCACCTGTTCCATATCCTCCTTCCTTAACACCGTAAATCTGATCTTTTCTGTTCCTCTAGTCATCAGCACTGCTGGCTGACAACTGCTCTATCTATAAACCCAAATGCAGTTTTGACCACGAACGCAATTTTCAAGCAGCCAAGAAACAGCTTTACTGAAAAGGAAACCACCTCCCCTTCAACGAGACCAACTTTTTTCTAAACCTTTACAGATGGATATAATTCCACGCACAGTCATTAGATCCAGAAACTTCTCAGAAGAGAACCAAAAGTTGCCTAATGACACATCGCAAGTTGATTTGTGATGCTCTGCGTGCAGTTTGCTTTTTCAGACTTTTTGGGCTGCTTCCTTTTCCGAGCGCAATGCGTTCAAGATGCGTGATGTCTGGTTCCCAGCTTTGCTTCTATCTGCTGGATGTCATTATGCACGGAAGATTTATGTTCGATTTCAAATCGAATGCAAGTTTCACACTCTAAGTAGGGGTGCCCACAAACATATTGTTCTTTGGAGAACAACTCTCTGGCTCCATAGATATTACTTGGACAGAGTAGTTCTGTTCTTCTGCAGCCCATGCCCGATCCAGATCCACAAGCCCCATACATTGTTTTCCTAAAAGGAGAGCAAGGGAGAGCATGGAAACTCAGAATGTAGAAACATTATCAGAAACGTGCACTTCAATATTCAATGTTAGGAAAACACATCAGTAAGCCATCTAAAAATAAGTTCCACACCTACTTTGAAAAACTATCTTAATCTGTTTCACTTCAAATAGACACTCGTTAATAGTTCCAAATCACATCTGTGACTCGTAACCCTCATTTAGCAAAGACCTTGAGAAGATTAGCTCCTTATATACGGAAAAAGCTTAAAAACAGTTGTGCCTTTTTCAAAACATACAGAAAAATCCATACTTTAATGTAAAGGTCATAGGAGGGAGAAAAAAGCCTACTTTACCCCTTAGCTCTCTGAATTGCCAAATTTCTACTCCCTTTGTAACCATAACTGTTTTCCTCCTATACTTTCACCTAAAATCTGAAAATCTCTGATTATTGAACTTCAGCAAAAGACTACAATACAAAAAAATTATCCAGTCTAATTGATTTGAGGCATATTAATGTAACTACTTGTAACCAAAAATACTACATTGGTAATGCAAAATAAGCATATCTCAGATTTACCTGCAGAAAAAACCAGGAAGGATAAATCAAGGGAGTTTTTCAGCTTAGACATTTGTCTTTACTTATTTACTCATTATAAATTGATTATTATGTTCTGAAATACCGAATTGACTTGTCAGATTGTATTTCAGCAGTTTGAAACTCTATTGCAAGAAAGATTTAATACTTCCCTGAAATGTTTTATAACTAATAGTCATACAGTCTCAAGTTCTGAACAGGGCACAATCCTCCTTTGGTCTCAAAGCCAATGATCCTAACTCTTCCTGCTCCTGAGAAAACTGTATAATTAAATATATTTGGAGTCTGAGACAAAGGGAAGACACAGGAGCACACCATGTTTACCATCAGGATACAAGTCGGGCATATTCCTCTGTAGTTCCTCTGAAACTACTTACCTCTTCCCTGAATGTAATACACAGCTTTTGTGCCTGTACCATTATAAACCCAGTTATGTACCCTGGTTAGGTGCCTGTAGAAGTTTTGGTAGGCGGCAGAAGCGCTCCTCAGAATCCTTGTATTTCAGAACAGCTGGTGCACATCACAGTTTGACACAGTACTCAGTCCAAGTCTATTCTGTCTTTCCACAGTGAGCCGATGGCCAGAACTATCTTCTCCTTCTCAGCTGAATTCCTTCGTTACAAAATAACGTCACTACTTTGAATTCACCAACATTATGACATTTGGACTCTGTTCTGTTGATGGCTTGGAATTTGAGAGGGGTAGTAATTGGGTAGGAGATAATTTAGAGACAAAATAATAAGGGAGGGCCTGAAAAAAATCCATACTTTCCAACTCAGTCCTGTGTGGATCTATATGTTGCAGGGAGAAATTAGCAATTTACAAACCCAGGACACAACCCTGCAAATTACTTTTTGTGGCACTATTCTTCCTGCATTTGTGGCTTCATAGAAAATCACCTTCTGTGGCTGGTTGAACGAAATGGCATGTACGCACTCCTGCCACTGACAGCAAAATCCTTATTATTCCGTGTGTGCACACTAAAGAGCAGCTGGGATTGTCACAACTGGGGCCTGGTTCCCCAGGTGCTCTCAGTAAGATTGTGTGAAACGCATGGAGCAGTTCTGTGTAAGCAAGTGGGCTGCAGCAATGCCCACAAAACCATTTAACCGTTCAGTCTGCACTGCTGCATATAGCGTGTAAAAGCCATACGCCCAGTGAAAATGATACACAGAACTTAGTTTATTTAAAAGGGAACTGCTGTGTGTAGCAGAACTGGATTCAACTGTGTATTTTTACCTTCACAGATACTACAGAAATCTGTGGTAACTCCTTCTACAAATGTGTTGTTTCAGCGACGAGTCACAGACAAATGCTGTATGTTAACTTACAAGTAATGAAAGCAAATGATTTGTCACCTCTATGAAGCTGCAGTGGTAATTGCTAAAATGTTTACATATATAATCCTAAAATATTCAAAAAGTAGCAAAGTGATTTTGCCACCATTTACAACAGAGAAGAAAAAGCCTCCACCTGTTCAGGAATACTCTCATTAAATGAAATACACAGTTTTCTCAATACCTGATCATCCATTTAACAAAAACATTCCCACCATGGCTGTAACACCAATTTCATGCAATTGTTTGCAAGGAAAACCTTAAAATACAGCTAAACAAGATTCCCACAAAACCAGTTTCAAAGCTGAAGCAGAACAGGGAATTGGTAACCATCTTCAATGAAACAGACTAGTATTACATGGAACTTAAAGAAAAAGTAACATTCTTGAAAACAGAAAAAGTGATGATGTAGGGGAAGAGGAGAATAAGATTTATATTTATGGTTTTTGTCAGAGCAAAACACATGAAAGTTACATTTGTGGGAAAAAACCCTGCAGTTTCAGACATAGTCAACAGATAAAAATTACAATCTTTCAAAAAATTATAAAAAAAAAAAAAAATTTGAGTCCTACTTCAATTTTCAGTCCACAGTGTGGGGTGCTACACTGGTAACTGAACACTGCCCTTTTTAATTTCTTTTTTTCAAATACTGTGATGATAAGAAAAGGAGCTAAAAATTTCTCGTCAGCTTTTATGCAGTATCTGTATAACTTCCTTTTTGTGCAGCGAGCGTAAGAAGTACCTTGAACGCTTCAAATCAAGCTTTTAAAAAACATTATGATTATTTGCTACTACTGCTTTAATGTAGTTTGTAAATATTTCTTCTAAGCCAAGAAAGGAGAGTTATGTTCTTAAGGGTTCCAAGCCTGGTCTGTCTTTTCTGACCTGGAAGCTCATTTATATCTTCCATCAAAACAAGGACCATGTTATATGCTTTTGTAAGTCAAAACTTATGCCAGCCCAACCTCTGCAATTTACCCTTACTGTTTGCAGCTGGCATTAGATGTCTGCCCTCCTAAGAGAGTTATCCCCAGTGACTACAAGCAGGGCAAAGGGGGCACACTGAAAGTCACTACTACGAACTGTCTGTGCTTTTAATGTAAGATAAACTGGCAACAGCAGGACTTCAGTGAACTTTACAAAGATCTCATGCTTTTCATAGAATGGTGTGTGGGGAGAAAAGGTCAAGCAATAAAATAAAATAAAAAAAATCAGTAAAACGCAAACTCTATCTCATATTGGTGATTTTGAAAGAAGTGAAGAGCTTCTGTGTCACAGAATGGAAGAGCAAGAGTGAAATGTGACAAAACTTGAATTTTTCAAGTTTTATGTGAAGACAGGAATCCAATGCCCCATTCATAAAGGTCTACTTCTTCCTTTATATATCAAGGTGAAATCATTACTGAGGTGGTTTACACAACAGCTGCAGAAATTCATACCAATTAGCCTGCGTTCAGGTGGAAGCTGAACAGCTGTCTGATCTGCAAATCTGCAAAGAATCATGTGCTCCTAAAAAAAGAAAAGAAGATAAAGCAAGAAAAATCTAATTAAATGTTTAAAGTATTAAAAGTGCTATTACACTGACGACTATATTTCTAGAAAATTTATCTGCATGCAAATCCCAATTTTTATTCTGCAAACACATGTGTAAATCAAGAGTTTGTAATCACTGCCTCATTTCTCCTCATCAGTATTTGTTTCTTGCTAAACTTCCCAATTCTTTTCAGCAGTTGAATTGGATGCAGTGTATACAAGAGAGCATTCATCAAAGACAAACTGCAGACTAATTTTGCCTTCAATAACTGATAAGCAACACAGTCATCTTTTAGCACAGTCATCACAGAGCTGCATCTCTGCATCAATAAACAGCCAAGATAAAATTCTTAAACAGGTGATTTGAACTACTGCACATTTCTCCAAGCAGTGATTTTGAGTCCCAGAAGAACAGCCTCATGGTCAAACTTCCTCTGCCCTGCCAAAAGCAAGTCAGGATCAACTAAAAAGATCCTGAAGGCAAAAAATACCTGGCTGTGAATAGGAAAGCCTCCTCCATCAAAATTGCAACAATGCAATTTCAACCTATCCCTGTTCCACTAGAAGTTTTTGCAAAGGCTTCCACAACAGCTGCTGTTGATTTCTTCCTGTCCTGTCACCCAGGGGGATGGTGCAGTGGAGGATGCATTTCACTCCCTGCTTAGATCACTACACAAGTGGGCAGAACCCCATATCCTCATTTGCCTTCAAATCCCACCACCTATGTCAGCATAATCATTCCTCAAAGACCAGCCAAGCCAAGGAATGCAAGATAGCCAGATGGTGAAAGAAAAAGTCTTGCAGGTGTAGCAATGAAATTAATGCTCTGATGACAGCTGTGCTCTTTGGGACAGCTGCAATATTTAAGTACAGGACAGCATAAATCAGAACCATCTTAGAATTGTACAGTATTCCCAAGTCTCCTACAATGTCACAGGGAGAAAACAAAAATGGACAACAACAAAAAGTGCTCTCCTAAGCAAAGCTTCTAGAGTTATAGTTCTGAAAAAAAAGCATGTGTCTTGCATCAATTTTTTTTTTTTTTTATTTCTTGCTTGATAGAAAATGATGACTTTAAAGATTTGTTTCTTGTACCAGGTGGAGAGAGCAACTTCACCTAAGGACACTTCATGTTCTTTCAGTATTCTGAAGTAAGGATACTTACTCCAGCTTTTTTTTAGAGGGACATAAACATCCAAGAGATTTTATTCCACTAAAAAGCTTCATATTAAATCAAGATGGTAATTACTCCCACAGTACACTCCATCTAACTCATAAATTTAATAGACACCTGACCGCAAAAAATTTTCTTACATACTATAAAATAAAATATTATCACCATTTGCTACTCAAATATTAGTCATTTAAATAAATTTACACTATTTTGAGGCAAGGGTATTTGTTCTCTAGTACTGCTCATTGGCATGAAGGTTTCCAGCTCACAGCTTCATAAAAGATATGGAAGCAAAATGAAAACATGTTATAATACATTTAGGAGTTAGACACACTCCGCCCACCCAGTTCCATTCAAATGTGGATACTTTTGTAGTACAAAAGAGCTGAAAATGTTAACCCAGACATGAGTACTGGAGAATGAAGGAGAAAGACAGCCATGGGCAACGTGGCCACAACTAGTAGAGGAGAGAAGCAGCAGTGAAAGGCAGCTTGAGGAGAAAAAGAGGGATTTAGAGGAGAAGGAAAAGATCCGTCTTAGCACACAACTCTTCAACAGCCTTCAGGCACCCAAGACAACTTGGCTCTTTGTAATATCAATGTTCCAGCTCTCTGGACGAGACCAGAGCCAAGATAAGCCTTGCCACTTAACCTGAAAATCTGGACTGACTCCAATGCCTTGGCTTCTTAGAGAGGTGATCCAAAGAGATAAATTAGAGCATGTTATGACTATATTTTTACCCATGACACACATTAAATTTTCAGAAATAAGAAGAAAAGCATTTCTAAAATAATGAAGATTATAGACTGCCCAAACTTTGTGTGTGCATAAACAGGTAATTTGCTTACTAGAACACCCTTACTTTCAATTGCTATTACATTTCCAAAGCGAAAAGTATTTGCAAAGTTATACAGTTCTACTTTCCAATTCTCCTTGTGTTTTGAGAAACAGTCTCAAAATGTATCATGCTAGAAATCTACAGATATCTTATTCTTTGCAACTATCAGCTAATGAATTACAGCATAATGTTCTCATCAAAAAAGTTTTGGAAATGCCAGACTTCTGGATGTCTTATTAGATCTCACAAAAATAAAAGATAAGAGAAATTAATTTAAAATGAGAACTGGAGGGGGTGACACAGACAATGTCTGGCTAACACATGGCAACTTTGACTGCTAGCCAATAACCTGCAACAATTTATTAATATGAAATATAAAAATGCATACAGCTAGCTGCATAACAAAAGTTATTTATAACTAGGATTATTGGAGGCACCAACCAGCCTGGACCATTTGTATAGACTTTTACATTATTAAGAGCAGCAATATTTTTTAGCCTTGTCTTTGACTCCTGTGCCCTCTGCAACACGAATAATAAAATGCTGGAATCTACAGTGTTGACAAACCCTGTGATTTAAATCTCCATGGATTAACAGATTAAGAAAAAAATTCACTGAGTTGTAATGAGGTTATGCACACTATCCTAATCTAGGCATCCCTGACTTTATAACAGTCACCATCTCCCTCTGTACTGTTAACTGGTTTACTTTCAATAATGTTAGTAAATGATTTTTTCTGAACTGAAACCTGAGTTCTTTGTGATTATGTGCTAGAAACACATAAATTAAAACAAGGGGAAAAATAATGACAGGTCCAAATCCACTGTATGGCTTTTGTCATCTCAATCTGTGGGTATTTATTTCCATGTAAATTAGTAAAGTGTACATAAACTAGACTGTCATGAAGGTAAGATAAGTGTATTAGCAGATAACTGGATTTCCCTTAGAAGATGGTTGGAAATTTTCTTAATTTTTAAAACTCCATCTTATTTGAGGATTAAAAAGGATAATCTCCATTTTCCTGCCACATAGAGCATCTTTGCACTGCTCAATGTCCCAAAAAAACATTTGGATATTATAAATACCTTCCTTTGCTTTCATATTTCTGTTCTAAAGAATTATTCTGCATCTCCAACATTTATTTCTACATTGTAAACACTAAGACCCCTGTCTATGAGTTTGACACGTAAATTTAGTAAAGTTTCTCTATAACCTTGCTTCTCTCAAAAGGAAACATTTTCTTTCCATGCCACATTAAGTGCATCTAAACGCACATGACAAAGTTTAACAGGTCAGTACAAGTTTCCTGCTGTCCACCTCTCTGCTCTTGTCCTTTTTCACTCCCCTGTTATCCTCACTCTGTCAGGCCTGCGTGCTTCATTGATTCTTTCTCCCACATTTCTCTCAGACTGTCTCCACAGACCCTTCCTTTGCAGGGTCCAAACACACTTGAATACTTTTAAAATAATTTTGAGCAACATTTTTAAAACAATACTGCATAAAATTCTTGCTGATCAGTATAGGCTTTTTCTGCTTAGTATGTCCAATCTTTTAGACATAAATTAGAGGGGAAAATCTAATGATTTTTAGAAAATAACAGCTCTATTTAAGACCTAAATAAATTGGCATCTTGTAAATGGATACATGCTGGAGTACTTTAGAAATGGCTCACTTATACATTATGATAAAGTAAGGGTTTTTTTTGTGGAGAAACTATTTAATTTCATTGAAGAAAAAAAGCCTTAAAACATGTATGGTGGAGAGAAAACACAATGACATCTGCACTATTAATGAACATTGCACATAACACATGCCACTCCTTGCAATTAAAAGATAACCACCTATATTTCAGTTGCTAAGATGACCCAGTGAAACACAGGAAACTGCACATAAACCTTCCCCCACCCCCTCTCCATTTTACATACCTTGTAGGACAAAATTTCTTTGAACTGATGACTGAAAAAAAAATAGACCAATTTAATGAACATCTAAAAACACCAGAGGTGGAAAATAGGATCAATCATTTAATGCTTAAACACATTTTAAACAAAGTAACATTATTTGTACCTACAGAAAGGCTTTCAAGAATACCAAAGCCCATTGCAGCTCCCATTCACTAGAATAGGAAAAGTGTACCTGACTGGGTCTTTTTTTCCCTATCATGTTATTCATAAAAACATTTCTCTCTAAATCATTATAAATACACAGATTTACTGTTCTTTCCTCATTGTCATATAAATACTTCATATATACTTAATAATACTCTAGGCAAACATATATTACTTTTGTATCACAAAAGTAAGGAGCCTCTACAAAGGAATTGACTGCAGAACACTACAGGGATATGGGCAGACTATCATGTTTTATGATCATATAACATAAGGAAAAAAAGAAGAAGCAAACCCTAAAATGCAGCTCGAACTAGGGTTAATAATTTTCTACAGAGGTTTGTGATGTTAGACTCAAAAATTTTAGCAAACACAAACTCCTAATTTATATTCTTGCAGCACCTATAGCAACAAAGGTTTTCTAACACAGGGAGAATTTCTACCCTTAGTACCAAAAATATAACTGGTCAAAAGTCCAATATTATACAGTCAATTTTAAAACAAGCCAACTGAGAAAAGCTATATGCCTGCTAATCTTAAAAGGCTTAAAATTTTATTGTCTCTTCCTCAAGAAGACTTATTTGTTTCATTGTGTCACAAGAGAAAACAAAAATGGACACACACACAGAGATGGAAGAATCAAATGGACTAAGAAAACACTGTTAAATCCAAAGCTTATCAAATTGACACATTCTAAATATTTACTCTGCACACTTCTGTGCCAGCACACTTGGGCATTACAGAAAAATATGAAAATATGAAAAAAAATATTAATATGGGTGCATAAGATTTTTTAGATTTCTTGATTCCTTGTAGGACTGCATGTTTCAGTTTGTTATTTTAGCAAATATATACTTCAGTCAATTCCTATTAGAATTAAATCTTGGACATCAAAAATGCAAAGCTCAGTTTTATGAAGAAAAAAAAAAAAAAAGGCCAACCAAAACACAACCCTGTTCCTCCATCTAGTTCTGATTCAGAAGGCTGTAGCCTCTTATCTTCTGCCACTTTATGCTCATCTTTTACATTTTATTTATAGCAAAGGCATTAAAATTCTTAAGCATAAGATACATAAGTATCTCCCACATGGCAGATTTGAAGACAAAATATGTACACAGTCCATTGAAAAAGTACTAAAAATATGAACTGAAATACAGGAGAGCTTGTCTACTTGGGAATAAATCAGAGAAGTTTCACAAGCAGTAAATTGTGTTATAAAACAGACCCACTTCTTAAGCTGATTGCTTACATATTTCTGCAACATTAAAATGTCAATTCCCCTTCTTACAGTAATTTTTGTGAGCTTTCTATTAACTTTGTGATTTAAAGGTAAAAGGTCTGCATATTACATACTGTATCTACTATGCTCCTTGCACAAAGTCTCCTGAACTATGAATAGATAAATCCAGAAAAAAATAATCCAGGAATTACCAATCTGCCTCCCTTTCACGATGAGTTGGCAAAGACAAACAGGAGGAAACAGTTTCATTATAAGTGTGAATCACCTTAGCCCAGAAATGTGCAAAGACCCTTAATTGATTAATTCTATACTCTTTTAGTATTTTCTTCCATCACTTAAATTAATATTTTAAGGCTTATCTTGTTAGGTGTCGTTTACCTTCGTGGATACTTGAACTTGACTGTGTTTTGAATGAAGCCATAACAGCACGGGGAGATGACAAAGGCTGCCCGTGCCCGGATGCAGTGCTCAATCACCATGTCTGTGGCCACACCACAGGCGTGCAGAGCCACCTACAGCAGTAAAAACAAAAACCAAGGAAACAAGAAAATTCCTTATAGCAACATTCTAAATACAATCCTGGTCAGCATCAACACTGAAGAAGGGTCACTTGCCAAAAGTATTCAGAAGGCAGGTGCATCACATTGTGATATCAAACAAATAAAAAACAAAGTTCCAGTAAAATAGTAACAGAGAAACTATTTGTGGTAATTAGCCAAAGGTTTTTGTCAAGGAATAAAGGACTTAGAATACAAAGAACTGTTTCAAAACTGGATTTCAACTCATCAATAAGATATGTAACAGATATACCTGAAGGTCACATTCAAATGAGAACATTTAACATAATTTTAGATCATTAGATTTTAAGATGTTGAGTAAAAACTTTAAAAAAATAAACATTGGAGGTGGGGGAAGCATCCAACACAACTTGCCCTCCTTTTTTTTTTCTTCTCCTTAATCTTTTCTTTCTTCTTCTTAGTGATGGGCTCTTCAGCTAAAACCAGAATAACATTTCATCTCAACTACTTGTGAACACTGACATGTGTTTGGGCAACACACAGGTTGCACCCAAATTCTTCATGCTCTGCTACAGAAAGAAAAGTTACTGCAGCAGTCAATATACTGCAAGGAAAGGCAAGCAGCTCCCTCATCTCTGTGATGCCAAATAGGCCAGGTGAAATGGAGACATTACTTACTCTGCCTCCTCCCACGTACTCTGTACCTCAAAGAGTAAGCCTGGTGCATAGATATTGCCCTATGTTTTCACTGAACTAAGGACATTTTTGAGACATTTGTAATTTTATGCAGCAGTGTGGATTTATAAAACTACACTGTTTTCTTTGATTCTGGTTCACTGTAAATTTAGGGGAAAGTTTTAAAGCTGCATAGCTCAGATTGCAGGACTCAAAGTTGTTTTTCAAGGTAGAGCAATTGGTAGATAAAAATTCTGCTCTCAGATACAGATTAAAACAAAGTCTTTTTTGTTTGCAGTCTGCTTGCTGTAAGCTCAGCTGAGCAGATCATTAATCTTCAACTGAAGTGTAACTGCATACAGAGGGAAACAACTATTTTTGTCTCAAGCAGAACATTAAAAAATTAACAAGAAAATAATTTCACAATGAAAATTTTTCTGCTCATATGTATTTAACAACAAAAATAAAACTAGTTTAACATCAGAAATAGAGTCTTAATATCACAGCTATCAGATTAGCATGGAATGTAATTATAGTTACTTCCTCATCTATCCAAGCAGACAACAAAGATCTCTTGCACATCTGAAAAAGAGACCTTAAAACAGCAGCAGATAAAACGAGTAGCTTTGCTGAGCCCATATGACCTGTTACAACAACTGGGTTTTTCTTTCTGTTTCTCAGAACCAATTAACTTAAGAAAAAACAAAACCACAGAATTAATGACAAAGCTTTCTCAGGATATCCTGTATCTCCAACTCACTGTCTGAAACAAAATAAATTGTGAAAACTAAAGCAGATATGCAGATATGCAGATATTTGGTCCACAAATCCAAACATCTGTAGACACAGGAAAGCAAAGTGGCCCCTGAAGAGAGCAAGAGAGCTAATGCAGTGCGAGACCATTGGCCTGTACTAGCCCTCTGGTACTGCAACTGCCCAGAACACTCCAGCACACACAGAAAAGCAAAGGGAAAAGAATGTTTCCTGAAACTTCAGGTTTACTTGAGTGATCTTAAAAACAAGAGTACTCAACACACTACAAAATACTCCTGCTGTCCAAGCAAACATTAAACTTTTCAACTTGTTCTCACAAATTAGCTGAGATACTGCAAGTACTACAGAAATATTAAAAACAGCTGAGATCTCAAAGACTCCTTTGGGTGTTGGCATGTAAACGAACACTGTATGCAAGTATTTGGAAGCTTTCACTTTAAGACTGAAATAATTTATTATTTATTATTGTGGTTGTACTACAACATGTAACAGTACAATGCACCGGTACATTTGGCAACTCAAACATGTTGTTTCAGACCCTTGACCATCATTATCCCGAGAGTTCATAAGGGCGGAAATTTTGCACAGAGCAAAAGGGAAGTGGTTGACATAGGGTTTTTAACCTGCTTTGGAACTCTTGACAGATAAAAAAATAGATAAATAACTTACACTTGATGTCAAGGTAATTAAAATGCATATAAACCTATTTTAAATGAATACCAAAGCAAGAGATGATGACTTCTGTCACATTCATTTCTCTATGCCTCTTTAAATTTCAAGTACTATTATCAGTGAATTTGTCATTGTGTCCTTCCTCAGATTTACACTATTGTTTTACTAAAAATGGTCTCAGAAGATGGGTTTAAATACGGCATATTGATAAACTTTTTATTTATCTATGTATTATGGTATTCTATGTCCATTTATGTATCAGACCAGTGTTTATGACATAATGAGGCAAAAGCAGCTAAACTTTATATTTTTATGTTCAAACACAGGTCAGCAAACCAGGCAGCACTCATCTTCAATATGCCAAGGAAAGCTAATCCTAGATTAATGAGCTAATCCTGAAGAGTGAATCCTGGCACGATGCAAACTAATTCTGAAGCTGACATTGATACAGGTTTCCCAAAAAGGGAAAGCTCCAGGTTTGTCTGTTGAATAGATAAATCAAGTCAAAGAAACTGAAATCACAGGCCTGGAAATGAAGAATTCCCAAGTGAATTCTTCTGACATATACTTCAATATTTTCCTTGTCACAAAACTTGGGAGTATAACACTTTTTTTATTAAATAAAAACTCTACAGAGATATTTAACATAGCATTAACCTTTACAATAGACCCCAAAAATTAAGACAGGAATCCCAATGATCACAAAATTGGAGACGCATTTCACAGAAAAACTATTAAACATTTCACACACATAATTCAGTAAATTATTCGCAAGATCCCAATATTCCTGAAATATATCTCCAGTTCATCCACTGAGATTTATATGACAATGTAGCACAAAAGATAAAGCCAGAGAATTGGAAATTCACACCTGGAAGGACTGGGCTAAAACCATTTAATCTTTCCACTTTCTCCTGCTCTATGTTTCTTTTCCTTTATTAAATAAACCAATCAAATAGTTAAATGGCACTGTTCATATACCATAAACCTTCAGCATTAAACGTCCTCAGTTACAGCCAAAACAGGCCCTTAGATGGATGATTTAAAGAACAGTCAGTCTTGCATGGAAAGCTTGAGCCTAGCCACAGAAGTACATATTCTATTAACAGAACAAAAAATTAGAAGACAGGAATATTTAGAGAGTTACAAAATACTATTTATGCCTTATTCTTCACTAGGGCTGCAGAATTCTAAAGAAACTAATCTCATTTATTTTCAGGGTCTGTAAGCACATAGAGAATTTTCTTCTCTCAGCTATTTTAGTTCTTCTAAGAATAATGAACCAGACACTGAAGTTTTGAACTGGAAAAGGTATAATCACTTACCCCAATGTTAAAAGTCCCCTTAAAATAGTCCAAATTTGCTTGAATGAACCAAATGTTGTTTAAACCTAGTTCATCACTTCTGTCTTTAGCACGGATCAGAGACAACTCCTTATTTTCTATGAGTACCACCTAGATGTCACACATAGGAGAAAGTAAAGAAAATAATTCTGAGAAATTAAAGTACAACATTACCAAGTTGTACTAAGAAAACTTTCTAGCTTAGTTGAGAAAACCTCTGAATCACTTGTGGCAGAGTTTGTGATCTATAAAATTATTATCTAGAAACCCAATAACAATTGAAGGCATTTAACACTTGCCAATATTGATCAGCATTCAAATATTTTATATTTTCATACAACTTTTGTCTTCTCAGGAAAGCACCATGCACATTTGGGAGTTACACTAAAAATTTCCATGTTTCAAACTTAAGTCCTCTGCTGAGACAACTGTGATGTCATGTGCCCTCCTGACATGCACATCTTTTAAAAATGATCATCAGAGACCAAAAGCTCATACTATCTGTACTTCTTACTGAGAATTTACCTGGCATGATGGCATCATGTGAGCAAGAACGATTCCAACATGGCCCTGTGAAAACAAAAACAAATGACAAAGATCCGAATGACTTTTTGGTGTTCCCAGCTGTTCACTCATTACATGATGAGCATTCCATAAACAGTGACAGAACCTTTGAAAGCAGGTAAAATTTCAGCGTTTGTACTTCTGCCTTGCTTTATGGCAGCAACAACCTAGAACTGCAAAGATGAAAGCTGAAATAAATGGTACAACATAAACAGAAATATACATTACCCCTCCACTGCAAAAATCCACAATCACATCTCCAGGCTTTGCAAGCTTTGTCACCACTGCTACCAAATTGTTCAGTTGCTGCTGCTTCCTGAGAGCCCGGTCTCTAGACATCTTTCCTGGGAATGACAGAGAAAATGCCTAAGTAGAGACCTGCAGTTCTCAACATTGATACTTTTAAGTGGGTAACTGCAAAGCACTGCAAATGAAGTTTGAGGTTAAAACCAGCAGGAACACTTGCGCATCTTGATCCACTTCAAACTAAATTCACATATATTTGGTAGAAGTTTCTCTAAAATTAACTTTCTACTTGTTGCTGTTAATGTATCCTTAGGAACAGACTTGTATAAACTTAATGTAAAGCCATCAAATCAGTGTAAGATCTAGCCTGACTATACTCCACTCCTGTGATTCATTCCCAGAAACAGAGCTCAAACTTTCCCTAATAACCAGTCCTGTTTATTTAAATGACTGTGTGCAAGGAGGTACTTTTCAAAGCAACTATTCTTACATAGTCTGGCTTTCCATCACATCTATAACACAACCAGAAATGGAAAAGCTATTAATTTCTTTCAAATGTGCTTGGTAAAGTCCAACATACAGTCGCTTCAGATATAACAGAATTTGGTTAGTCAGCACTTAACGTGTTTGTAAAAATGCATTTTGTCTCAGTGGGACTGAGTGCTGACAGACCTATTCAATATTCCTTTTGCTTGTTCAGAAAGCAGAGTTTGGCAGAGATATTGACAGCTCATCTTTACAGTAACAAAAAAGGTACTGAAACAACTCTCTTGAATGAGTTTTCACAAAGGAGGTTTAGCTGTACCAAACAATACCAGTGTTCTCTGAAAAAAGAACTTTTTTCTTACTTGGAGCACCACATTATATAAGATATGGACACTCTTCAGTTTCATATAAAATTCCTTACATTTATCTATTAAAAATTTGCGTTTCCCAGTACTGAGGTGTAGTTTAGAATAAAATTCACAAATCAGTGAAGTTTCCTGGTTACTATAAATAGGAGCACTTCAACTCTCATCATCATAATCAGTTGCATTTATTACACAGTTTATTGTTTAAAACTCTATCCTGAAAATATATACTTCTGTATATTTTATAATAAATAACATTTCACTTTACAAATAAACCATCAAATGCAACAAACTCAGATAAAATTATTACTACATTGCTCTACACAGAATGTGAAAAAAATCACTTTTCAAGACTCAAGAAATCTAATTCATACTTGTCTGCTACACGCCCCAGACCTGAAATACAGCTATGGCAAGGGGAACATAATTAACAGGGACTTTTATCAGGATAATACGGGCTACTACTTGGGTTTGTTCTCAGCAATCAACATATCTTACTGTTGCAGCCACTAGAAGCTGTCTGTGCACAGTATCTACATCTGACTATGATTACACAGCTGTACGAGGTGTGACTGCAGCTCAGCGTGGTAAATCTGAGCCTGCTTTAAACAACCCAGTTTGGACACCAACAGCGATCCTGCTATGACAGCCCTGCATTTAGGGCAAACTAGTCTTTCAAAAAATCTGTTCAGCTCCTATGCTGCTAAAAACCAAGCCACCAGCTTAAAATTAACTCAGCTTACGTCTATAAACTGCAGCATAAGCCTGCTCTTGTGGTATTGCAGGTCCTAGACTAATGGACAGCAGCAGCAGCAGGTCTAAATAGCAAGAAGTAAGGAGGGATATATCCTGGATATTATCCTGGACAGAATTTCAGGTTCAGCTAAAAACATAGGTTTTCCTTTGACTGAATTCAGCATGGACTTGCCCTTTTAATAATCTCAAGACTGCCAAAGCACACAGAATCCCTTAGCTAGAAATACATGGTGAAGATAAAACCTCAGCTCTGTTCTCCAAAAGGAGTTTGAACACAATAAAACTTGCCTCATAAGCTTAGGTAGCTTAATTTATACTGTTACTAATTTTTAAAAGGTTGGTTCTCACAAGTATTATCTTAAAGAAATAACTTCTACCTTCACAAATTTTCTTTTTAGTGAGCACAAGTAATATAAGTACTTAAAGCTCATTCATTATACAAAGTTGCAAGCTCCCTTGGTGGAAAGCCTTCAGAATTCAAGACTTCCTGAGCTCAAGTAGCAGTCACAATTAATTTAATGGGATTGTTATAAATGTTTTTTTTTCCTGACAACTTTTGTATCGCTCCCTTATATCCACTTGCAACTTCAATCTTCCTAATTATGAGAGGGACGACGTTGACAATTTTGTTTCCAATCCTATCTCTCAACAGGCATTAACACAAATGTTCTGAGCCATTTTCCTGCACTACACTGAAGGACAGAACACACCTGCCATGTCTCAAACAGCACAGAAATCCATGTATGGAAATGCTCGTACTTCCTCATCCAAATTCTCTGTTCTTATTCTCCAACACTAAGGTTTTCCCAAGAGGTCTGGGATTTATTAGCATCAAGTCCAAATCCTGAAAAGCACCATCAAATTTTCATACCGAGCAAAGTTAGCGAAAATCATCAAGTAAAACATTAACAAGTATCATCAGCAAAAACAGATTCACTGCTTAGTATTCAATTAGTTGATCTCATGAATATTAAATTAATAAGAAATATTTTTGCAAAAAATTAGCCTACAGCCTTTAAAAACTCTAGAAATGAAAGCAACAAGGTTTCATCCTCCCTTAATGTGCAGGCAATAAGGAGCAAACATTCTCTTGAAAGATGGATAAAAATCAAGCTTGAATCAATAGGTCTTTTGTCTGCTCTACCTCTGTATTTTGAGCTCAGTTGCTAGAATTACAGAAACACAGCAAGCTGTGACATTGCCTGTAGAGAATGTTAGTTAGCATGGCTAACTAGTCCTTCATTACAGGCAATAAATTCAACTAAAACTTCTGTATCTAAAAATACTACAGCTCACTTCTTATTTCTCAAGCCCTATGATAGCAAATAATGTTAATTGTTGTCCGCAAAAACAGTAAGAGTAGCTTGAAATTTAGCCCTAGCAGGCAAAACCTTGAAGAATGTGACCTTTTCCTACAATACACTGAAAGGCCCCCATAAAATGATTTGCTCCCTTCGTAAGAACCCAACTGACAGACTGCAATACAGTCCCAGTAAGATTAATTTTCAATAAATGGTCACAACAAAAATATTTTATTTGGCTTCACAAATCCAACATTACTTTTAATTTAGCCCTTGTCAAGCAGAACTTTAAAGTCTCTGTGGCACTTAGAGGTCTTGCATTTTGGCACAAATAAATATTAACTTCTGAGAAGGCAACCCCCCTTTATTTTTGTATTACCTTGGTCAGTATTCAAGTTCATATAATCCTTTAGTCCTCAAATAATACTTTCAGATTTCCCAAGTTAAACTTGAAAAGTCATTAAAGCATCCTTAAAAAAAGCAAAACCCAAATCTCACCTCTAAGAATTTAACCCTTTTCAACTTTCAAGTCCTAAGGCAGTACATCTGAACACTGCTACCAGCCCATACACAAAACACACAATATGTGCATTCCATGGAGTACGATTGCATACTTCTATTGTTTTAGCACAAGTATCTATTTACTAAGTTTTCTATAAGCTGCAGTTAACTAATTCAAATGATAACTCTACTTCTCATGGAAATTCAGGGAAAGTATATTTATTGCTATATTGATTAGAGACAAAAATAAGAACAGCAAAAAAGGTTCAGTAACTACACAGCAACAGTAACAGTTTTATTACTTTATACTAAGCTGAAGAAGTTTTTCTGAAACCAATGCTCCAATGCTTTTTTTTCTTCAGGTAGTTCCTTATGATAATCCAGCATATTCTAATTACTTCTTAATACTGACAATATGTCCTTCTAAACTGTTTTTGATAGCTGTTGGGGGGGTGGTATTTGCTTCTTTGTTTTGTGGGTGGTTGTTGTAGTTTTGTGTTATGGGTGTTTTTTTTCTGTTTACATACAGTATTGGTCAGATCAGTATAGCTGTACAGTGGTTCTCATGCAACCACTAGAAAAAAGAATTCAAAAAGATACAAGTTCAGCTGACATTTATTTACAAAGATATACTCTTAGCAGTCAAACATAGTACTACCTTCTTTTGAGAGAACTTCGTCAAGTCTTGCAACAAATACAATTCGCAAAGACAATAACTTTGCTGTGGTCCATTGATCACCTTGGTTACTTGAACAATATATCCTAATCAACTTTAGCTGCTTTTATTCAATCTGTGTGGGCCAGTGCCGAAAGCTGAAGATCTGCCCTCCCATTCTGCAGCCTGGTGGCCACCTTCCAGCTGCCCCCTTTCACTGCACTGACCTGCCTCCCTTCCCCTCCCTCCCCAGCAGCAAACTGTTAGCTTTCAGCAACATCTGTTTCCTACTCTTATTGCATGACCACACCAGAGAAGAGAGGGCAAGTATCAGGAGATGGGCCAGCCAGTCTCAGCATCATCTACAAGTATGCCATGGTAAAGGCCCAGTCAAACTTCAGTTTGAAAATACACACTACATCAAAAGGCATAGAGGCAAATGTATCTCAATTCTCCTCCACCTCCCACCCCCCTCTTATAATGGTGGGGAGAGGCAAATTGAATGAGCAGTATTTGAATTCAATACAGCAAATAGTGTGTTTGAGATTTTTACACTTGAGTATAACTCAAAGAAGGGGATCCAGAAAAGAAAGTGCTGCTGTACAGTGAGAATTCTGACCACATCCTGCACTGGGACTTGAATATCTCCTAATTGATATAAATCTGTCTGTTTAAAAGCAAAAAGTTACATTCTTCGGAGTATGGTTTCAGCTTTGGGAATAAAGCAGGTTTTCACTCCAGAGTAGCTGTAAAACAATTAACACCACAAAATGTCCCTAACCAATTCCTCAAGGCAGTCTAGATCATAGAGTGACACTGACCTTGGCTCTCCACTTTTCAGGCTCAGTATAAATTGTTTCCTTATGTCCAACTCCCTTATGGTTGTGAAATAATTCAATCTGGCTGTTTGAGTGATAATGGACTAGAAAGTATCTGTCACTGGAAGCCTGCCTCTTAGCTACAGAGAATGCTCTCCTTTACGAAATGTATTAAGTCTATTAAGTCTTTAGGTTAGAGTTCTGACATGAATGCAC